CCAAAAACTAATTACGTGTACATAATCTGTCACTTTTAAAAGAATTTTACCATATGACCTTTAATCGCACTCATCCCTCCAGAGTCCCTTACGTGTTATGTTAATATAATGATTGATCGCTTCCTTAACATTGTCCTGCACGCGTATATTCATCCACAATATACATGAGTCTTGATTCATTATTTCCATTATCTTAGGAGCGTCCGAATTAAGAACGAACGCTCAAAGTTTCCTTTTTAAAACTAGACGATATATTTAAAAGGAAATACCGCAGATTTCCTAAATTCGACTTATTAGAAATTTTCGTGTGAGACGACTTAGAATGAAACCATCAACTTCTATAATTAAATGTGCAATTCATATTTCTGAGTTTTTGCTTATATTATTTTATAATTTTTTATTTGTACAGTATAGTTTATGTATCATGTATTTAGATGGAATTTACGAAAAGTCATTACTTATTATAGACGTGCGAATTTTATGTATTTGCATTAATGATTCTATGATAAAAAAAAGTTATATATATATATATATATATAGATCTTTGCATCTCATTTTCTTTACCAATAAATGTTATTTGTGTTATAGGAAAATGCTATGCAAAAGTTTATATTAGTTTTGTTGTTTGTGCTGTAATTGAGAAATGCCGTGCAAAAATGTGTTAATGAATTCCGTTCTATCCTTATCTGGCAAACTGCCGACTATCTGGAATCGTAATAGTGAATAAATATTATTTCCAGCTGCTTATGTCATCAGTCTAACTGCCGTTGTTTCAACGGTTGACTTCTATTCTTATCGAAATAATAATAGAGAAGATTTAGTTGTGCCGGACTGAGGCCACGAAGGTATTCAAAAAATGTATTATCATCTCCTAACACCGAGTATAAAGCAACGAGAGCATCAACAACTGATTTCCTTATGCTTGGCCTTGAATCACCAAATCCCTGTACATAAGGTGCGTTATATAGTCAGCAAAACATTAATTAAAAAAAAAAATTTTTTTTTTTATTTTTTTATTACGGAAATACTACAAACCTTGATCGTCAATGGAACTATTATACCTATCTGCCTTTTCAAAGATCCTTTATCGAATCTCATAACTATTCGTGATAGAACTGCAAAGGCGGATGCTTTCATCCTCGATTGCGCATCTGAATCTTCCTTATTCTTAAACAAGTTTGATTCCATGATATCAATAAGTGCATACAAACCAGTACTACTATCAATTCTGTGAACATAATTCTCCAGGATCTCTTCGGCATGAAAATAAATCTGCGCGCATCATTATAAAAATCAATATTTGACGAATTTCAATCTTCAAAGACCAGCATAGCAACTTACGGCATTAGATGATTCGGCTCGGCATTCAATTAAAACACGCAAGATATCTCTTTCAAGCCTTTGATTAAGAATGTAGTCGAATTGATTCTCGAGAAATTGGTCGAGTAATATTATTGCATTTTCTTTCATCTCCGAGTTTTCCTGTAAGAAATCAACAGAATAAATTTATTTTTAACAAGATGCATGCTGTTTGTAATAATTTGCATTGAAATTAAAAAAAACAAATAAGAACCGTTTCTGTCAAGAATCCTATTAAGGCGTTCATTAATTCCCTAAATCTTTCGCCATATTCCCAAATATCATCGGCAAGTTCTTTGTTTTTTAACGAAATTTCTTTGGATAACCGTGCCAATTTACGGAAAAGATAGTAATCTACTTCGTGATTATTCAAATGAGCCAACAAGGTTACAAGTAACAGTTTCCTCTCCTGAGTAGAGACAGGAAAAGAAGAATCTGTAAAGATATTTCAAGAGTGTGTATTAAGTGTTTTGAAACCGATTCCATATAACAGATGATAAAATAACTGAAGGATATTGCATACTTTCGATATGTTTTGATGCGCGCTCACGAGCGCTTGATACAGAATCTCTTTTGCTTGCAGTTGATACAGACTGTGACGGTTCTTCCGTCATGGATACTATATTTGCCGAACTATCAGCGACAACTGTCATCAAATCCTTCTTTTCTATTGAATCAGTTAAGTTGTTTACGCAGGAGGCATCAGAAACCGGGATATTCGCCTCAGTAGCCATGGTTTTCTGATCTTCGGAGTGTATTAGGGGTGTGGAATCATCTTTTTCTGATATTTTAATAACCGTATTCTTTCGTAGGGAAGTTCCTTCGGGTGTGTTCAGTAATTCTGGAATTTCTACTTCTTGTATAGGAGACAATACCGCATCTGCCTCGACGTTCTTGAATCTTTCTTCGGGATTTACAAAAAATGGGTTAATGGTTCCATCTAAAGTATTTGAAAGTTGTTTCCACACATCATCGGTTATAAAAATGCTTGTTCGATTTGATTTTTTGTCTACTAAATTATCTGAAGTGGATTCCTAGTACAAACGAAATTAAAAAACGTAAGAAATTAAACAAGTGTGTTTGCCATTTTTTGATTAAAAAACCTTACTTCGTTCAATGAATTTTCCGTGACATCTGCGACCTCGTTTAAATTTTTGAAATCTCGTTCATCCAAGTCTATTGCTTGGTGTGCAACATGAGGTGGAGAGACGACTCTTTCCGTTCTCTGGGGCTCTTTCTGTAAAGGACGGAGGGGAGAGCCCATTCGCTCCATCGGTTCACTCATAGATCTCTTTTCTTTATAGTTATCTCGTGATTGAGCAAGCTCGAATTCACTGACACTATCGTTATCATCATACGGACCTTCACTGAATGTTTCTCTATCAGTTGTCTCAGTCCAATTACTGTCTTTTGACATTCGTCTCCCATTATTGGTCCATTCCATTCCTCTTGACCTATTATTGTTCCATTCCATGTCCTTCGGAGAAGGGCGTCTAATTCTTTCATCCCAGTGATTTTCCCAATGATTTTTTGGT